ACGAGTACCGCTTGGATCTTCCGCAAGTCAGGCTACACCAAGGATCAATCAGGAGGGGGCACGCTCTTTCAATTCACGGTGCACCGGCGCTTCACTCTGCTCAGCGTTGACTTTTTTATTTGAAGATGATCCACACACCAACCACCCCGTGATTGGCAGCTATTTACATTGCTCTACCTAATGCTGCTGACAAGGGATCTGGATGGACAATCAGTCATTCGCCGAAGCACTTCTGGTGCGATAAGGTGACAGTATGAGACGTCTCCAAAATTTGTGAAGATCCGGAGTTTGGTCCCACGTGCCTTGAGCCCGATTCAGCTCCAAACACGATCTGACACCGTTATGTTCAAGTCGACTTACTAGGGATTCTACGATTGACCATCCATCACATTTGCCGAAGATGAGGAGTGGGTACAGTGTGCTAACAAATGAACAAGCGGCGGTAGTCCAGCTCAAACGCTTCGGGAGTTCTTACTGCTTAAGTTCAACCTCGTCCAAGTAGGGCCTTCTCGGATTTTTGGTGGAACACGAGAGGAGTTGAGCTCTGGAAACCCCTACGTGTAGATGTCGCAGTCAACGCGGAAGTCAACCATCCACAGCTCGATTGCAACGCTTTTAATACGAAAGAAAGGTGACACTGACATGACAACACTATCGAACCACCGGTTGCCACGATGATTAAGGAAAGTTCTGAGCTCGAACGGAGAAAGCTTTTAAATCTTCTTATAGCCCTGACCTCGTGCAAATAATGCCCTTCTGCTCCTCTCCAAACCATCTCCTAGAGAAGAAAGCTCATCCTAACTATGATGATGTCAAAATCGACATCTGATCTTTCTTCGATCAGAATTCAGTAGAGTCACAAGGGAGGCATCGAGCAGCTTCTAGTGCATTGGCAATAGGTTGTAAATGATAATGATGTTGTGTATTATGCTGAAAATGAAGCAACGAAGGAATAAAAAAATGAAATCAAAGTTGAGTCAGTTTGTTGGAGGAATTATAGATCAATCTAGTACTTACTTTCGACTGCTACTATTTCCCATTCAACATTCTTCTTTAGAACTCATGGGCTCCCGTGCCAAAGACATAAAAACCGTACGCGATTTGAACTCGTTAACTCGGCTCGGTGTATGGCTCCTGGAACGGGAACGGACACGATTTCTCAATCACTATGCGAAAATCAGGTGAGGTTTCAATACAGACGAATTCAAAAGTGGTTAGAGGGTTTGGTGTAATAGATAAACCTACAGGGAACAGTGGATTGTACAAAAAATGGGAAGCGGTGTGGCTTCTGCGAAGAGCTGATCGCTTTCTGAAAGCGAATTCAGCCTCATTCCTTGTAAACACCCTCACGATGATTTCGGAATCTAGACGAGCAGGATGCAGCTTTTGTCAAGGTTGAAGATAGCCGTTTTCTCGGCTTACAGAGGTCCCCTTCCCCCGACTCAAAAGGTGGTACAAGGACGCTAGAGTATGTATATCCAAGACTGCTTCAAACGCTTCCATTTTTCCTCATTCACAACATACGGGTGTCTGTGCCTTCTCGTCACTTGTGCTTTCTCTCTTTCACCTTAGGTAGTAGCTAAATTTCAAAAACGAGGAAGCTCTCTACTCCAGCTTTTTAACAGACTCTTTCCCCTTTTTTCCTTAACTACCGGTCTACTTCGCACCTCTGCTTTCCTTTTTATGTGTAAGGGTCACAACTATTCGATCGTGGATGTGCCTCTCAGTCTTTCAATCATAAAATTAAAAAGTATAATAGAACAAAACACAGTATTAGCATCACCAAATAGTACAGAAAAGTTCTTGACAGAAAATTTTTGTACTAAAAATTTGTGAATTCAATATACAACAAACATTCTCACGAATAACTTATGAAATCGGAATACTCTTTTCTTCCTTCTGATATTGACGAGCCCAGAGGAAGGTTATAGAAATCCGTCTAGTCTCCGTCTAAGGGCACGTGCCAAACGGAGAGACTAGACTACAATCCTTGATTCCCAAATCCCAACGCAAGAATAGAATGAAATAAAGAATAGCTATTAGTGCGAAATTAGATAAAATAGTGTAAGTAAAATTACAGAAGTAGACCGTAATAAAAAATAATTCAAAATGAAATAAAACATAATACAATATATATTTCACTCGTTTTGAACAAACAAGCAGAGCTAGACCTAATAAACTTCAGAAACACACTCATCTCACATGATCTAGGTTGTTTGGTTGAATATTACTTCATTTCAGGGGTGATAATATGATGCGTGCAATCAGTGCTGTGGCGCAACATCATGCTGCTTTGTACTCCCGCATACATTCACGTTCTGGTGCCATTAAGAAGTAGGTTTTCCTCTGGAAATGGGAACATACCGAGGTTTTTCAACTTTGAATTGAAAAGCGACTATGCTCACAATTCCTCCTTTTTGCGAGCACGATTTTACTCGATAGAAGAATTTGAGGCTCGGACAGAGCCCTTTCTGTGGACACGTTAGAATGAACACCCGACTTTCAGTGTGCTCAAGAAAGCAGCTGGCCGTGGCGAGAAGTTCGACCGACGTCTTGGTGACGTGGATGGAGGAGAATCGGAAGGGGCATCTCTGATGGCGGGCTGTCTTCTGGCACTGTTAGAGGTTGAAGAAGCGATCATGGTGAAGACGATACCCGATACCACTCGACGTGCTCAGGTAAGGAAGCATTTCTGCCCATCTGTTCAGTACCGGCTCTCTCGTCAGTACCACTTTCCCTTCAGGTCTTTCGTGAACTGGTCGCTAATCCGCTCAGTTTTGTCATTCGACACATCCAGCGAGTTGTACAAGAAAGTGACAAAGGAGTGCTTCCTCTTCTCCCTCTGTTACGATTTCTTTCCGCTCATCAAACTCGACTCCAGAATCTCGCAACAGTCAGTCAAATGGCCTCTTTAACTGTAGAGAAGGCACTATCGATTTCCCATTGTTCTTTTTTCAGAATAGTATGGCTGATGTTCCTTTCGAAGCGCTAATGCGGCTGCTTCGTGTGAAGTCCTCATCGTACATTAACGAATTTGTTGAGAAGTTGAAGAATGACAACAGCAAGCTGCCTTTGGATGGAAATGTTCATCCAATCACTGTTACTGTAAGTTCAGTGTCCTGAATCCTTTTTAACCTTTGGCCTTCTGAGGTTTGCTTTTCGGTTTTTGAAGAACCTATAAGTTCCTCTTGTTTTTAGACTATAAATTTCCTTGCAACTTTAACGGTTCATCGCCATACGGTAACTCAGCAATTGCTCCTCATGACTGCACCTCAAGGAACAAACTCAGCACTTCTGCTGCCAAAACTTTTCGGTACGTTCATTTCGACTTTTTTGTTATGTCGCGTTTTTTGCGTTTCGGCTATATACGTGCGGTACCCACAACTCCATTTTCTGCTAGTAACCTCGCTGATTCAACACCAAATTTCTTCGGCCATTTAGGAGACTTTGAAAAGAAAAGCGAAACCACTAATTGTACGACTGCCGCTTTGGTCGATGCTTTCCTCTCGACACAATGTGTACAAGCTTAGCTCCGATAAGTATGTGGTTTGAATATTTGTCAGTATGAGGCGAGGTTACCGTGAACAACCTCAATTTCGGCTTTGGAAGATGAGAAGATGGAACTGCTCCAGTGATAGACGACACAATACTCAGATCTGTCTGTTTATACTCGGGAGACTTGGCCCCGTCAATGTGTCTAATCAATTACATGCTGCAGTGAGGACTACCTGGTTTTATAGCGGTAAGTTTGAACATAAGCGAATATTCCCATTAAATAAGTATTTTTCGCTTTATGCGATTTTTTTAAAGCATGCACAAAAAGCAGCAAAGCGGTGCGCGCACTTTGACTCGCTTGTTTAGAGTGGGGACGCAAGTGCCGGAAGGAGTCAGCAGACCCAGCCTTATTGGCCGTTTCTTGCGGCCGCGGCCCGGAATTTGGGAAGGGATTGGGTGCTGCGACGGTGACGGACTCCTGCAACTCGGTCGTCCGGTAGAAAAGTAATGAGGACGCAAAGGTGGAAGCACTCCGCAAAAGGAGTAGGTTGCTTAACACAGACTAAGCCTCAGAGGAACGGACTCTCTCGCAGGTCCGTCCCCTCTTTGAGGCTTAGTCCTGAGGTAAGCATCAGATTGAGGCGGTAGCCCAAAGTAGCCCGTCGACCGTCGAGGACCCCCTCCCCTTCCCAACATTCAGCCTACGGCCCCAGCAGAAGCGCCAAAAGGGCTGGTTTGCTTTCTCCAATGTGGAGTGCTTCCTCATAATGGAAAACTTCACAAGGGCATCACTGCGAGAGCGACTCACAGCTGTGCCCTCTAAAAGTCTAAAAGGAAAGCAGCAACAGCGCGCGGTGATCGCGTTACCCACGTACGGTGACTTACCCCCTCTCATCGTCGTGGAACCCTGAGGGGATGCCAACATGTAAAAAAACTATTATGTTGAGCAAAGGTCAAACTACAGCAGGGAGAATTCTTTCCTTTCCCCTGAACATGTTAATGCTTCCCACTCAATTTTTAGCCCCTAGAAGGAACTTTGAAAAAAAAACTTGCCTTTTCAGCTGGAATCAATGCATTGCAACTCTTCAAGGAGCTCAGCGTATTGGAGACGATAAGAACATGATGAAGAACATGATCGCGGTAAGCTTCATATGGTTCCAGGTTATAGATAGTGACCGCTTGTTGTCATTGTTGTGTTTAATACAATATGTATTTTCACTCTGTTACCCGGGGTCAAACTTGCCGCAGTTGCAGACTTGATAGCACATGTGACATTTGACGACGCCAAAACATCAAAATTTACACCTGTCGCCATTGGGGCGGTCTCCACGTGTGCATAAAGAATATTGAAAGGGAATAATTCCTAGTGTTGCTCAGCTTTTTGAGAGCGTCACATACTTGATTTCAATTCAAAGCGAGCGGAAATTCGAATGTGGGTTTCTCATGTACGAGAGCCATCCCATTTATGACAGTAGGCGGTTAAAAGTCTGGAAAAAGTTTGATCCGAAATGTGTTTTGGTCCGTACCTCACCATGAAGCTTGCCGCCATACCACTTATACTCATCGTCAGTTGCTTTACCCCTAGTTATTATGGGGTATGTACTTACCACCGATGGGCATCACTTTGGATTCTATTGTCGGAAACAAAAAGGCGAAACCAAATTTAGATTGCCACCATCTCCCCACGCCCTTCTTGCTGTGGACCACTTGATATTGTGTTTTATTTTGATACCAGATTGGTCCCCATCAACCGCTGGGACGTTGCTTCCCTGCGTAAGCTTCATTTCTTCCGCTATGTTCCTTCCACTTGTGTACCCCTTCACTCCCTCAAGTTGCCACTGCAGCACCATGTAGAATGAGAGTGAGTGTGCTCGATCGGTGTATAGCCATTGTGGGTGTTATCAGAATCACAACATCGTTAGAGTAATACGTCAACACGATATAGCCCTTCCTCTTGAAAGCGGTTGTTCTCCCTCCCTGCATCCTCTCCCACCCCCCCCTTCTACCCTCCCCTCTTGCCCCTCCGGCTGCCACGGCAGCACCATGTCCTCCCTCCCTTTTCTCCTCTCCCCCTCCTTCCCTCCCTCTTCCTCCACTCTC